CTCAACTGGGGAACTTCTCAGATACGCAGATTTTCTTTCTCCCCCGAGAATGTGGTAAATCTACACTTCAAATTGCAATTAACATATTATTATTATATGTAAAAATATATAATAATGCTTATGTGCTATGAATATTGCGTTTGGATCAATTAAAATAAAAGAAGCCTTTGACAAGTAACATAAAAGAAACCTTTGTTTAAGTAAAAACTGCTTTCTTTGATATTTAAAGTATTTTTTCGCAACAGCCTGTTCATTTACATATCTCATGTGAGCTATGAAACCAGGACTGTCACAAAAATTTTGATTCGTCTGATAATATGAAAACTGAAAAATACAAAAATCTTAAATGACAAACTGATTTATAAATCTCATTAAAGGTATTAAAACTAAAGTAACAGCTTATATACGTCACACTACTGTGCACAGGGCTCCTCATAACCAATAGTGTTTTGTGGACAGAAACGAGTATGTCGCAATGCTTCAATGCGTATTAACGGTTTTCACATTTCTACGACTTTTTAAGTACTCAGACATTTAGATTTGTCCACGATGTTATACTTCACAACTTCACCGGATACGTGGTAAGTCAGCACGTAAATTTTCCTATAACAGATTAATTTGTCTTCAAGGGACTCGTACAAGTTTTGCTCGCTTGCAACATGGCTCTCGTATTCGTTTAAATGCAATTCATTAACACTGAAACAAAGCTTTTGTAAGATTGTTGATCATATCTACCAAGTAATTAGAAACCGAACGATGCCACGAACTATTCCATCAAACAGAGATAAAATCTTACAGTCCGACAGACACCCAATGTATTCTACTAAAGAGCTTTTCTCTTAATTTCAGTTTTGTTTACACAGTACTGGATACTGTGCACACAATACACACGTATTGTGTACAACAGTTTTGTTAGCCATTTTTTCAATGTTATTTTATCAGTTGCTTATCAGTAGTTTATTTAATAGAAAGTAGAGGGCGCTATAAATATAACATTAATATTATGAAAGTCAAAACTATAATATCTAGTAATATCAGCTATAAAATATTGGGGTGCGACTGGCTCAAGAGCCACCCCAAAGCCGCGAACATTTACTAATTATATAAAAAAAGGCATAAAGTGATGTTGATTCTGTTAAAAATCTGTTTATAACGTATGAAAATTACATGTTTTTTAGGTTCAAAAAATATAAATTTTCATACGTTTGATAGATGTCACTATTATCTAATATTTTTTAAAATTTTAATTATTACCCTTTTAAAATGAAATAACGATTAAATTAATTAATTAACCATTTAAATGTAAACTATTTATATTATTTAATTTATTAGTTACTAAAGGCAAAATATAGGCTTTTTCACTTGTTTTGATAACTAAAATATATAACGTCAGCGGAGATTAAAATTGTTATGCAAGGTTAAAACTGATTTTAAACTTTATTTACAAATATCATATTTATTTGCGAAAACAACCGTCATCCCGCATGTTAACTAACATAATCATATATAATAGAAAATTAACATCTAAAGGAATAAAAATACTTAACCTTCTTTTTTTCTATTTCTATTTGTTAATATTTTGAAAGAATTTTCAGCTTAGAAGTATAGTAGAAAACTCAATTACATGGAATAAAAAACGTAGCAAAAAGCTTATACATCGCAGCGGTTTACTTCCACGGCTACGTTTTCATGTTTACGAATAACTTGAGGCCGTCAAAAACAACCTAACAACATCTTATAGTGACCATATCAATATCTTTTTTAAATGAATAGATTGACTTGGCCTTTGCATGAAAACAGAATGTATCTCACAAGTAATACATGTTATATTAAATTAGATTGTTTAGTGCGATTGCCAAGTCAATCTATGTATTTAAAACATAAAGATTTTTAATATTGATATGGTCACTATAAGATGTTGTTAGGTTAGCTAATTACGTAATAACGTAAGACAGAAGGACCCTTAAGTAGGGACTGAATAAATTAAACGAATTGGTATTACATGGATCTCACATCTTTTTATGGTAGAAGAACTGAGTTGTGAGACTTGTTTTTTTTTACAAGTTATGTTTTTGACGGCATCTCATTTCTTTTTGTAGATAGTTATATTTAGGTACCTATCTACACCTATTATTCCATTATATTATACATATACAAGTATGCAGATTTATTCACTGCAAATGTAACTTTGTAATCCTATATATTTATATGGGAAAACAAAGTTAATTATGCAGTTGACGTATTCAGAAAACTGGACCAAAATTGCTAAATATTTTAGTTTTTCCCTGATTTATATATTAAACACTAATTTTATTCTAAATTTGAAGCTTCTATGTCTGCTAGAAGTGCCTTAAAGTTTTGATGATCGGTCAGTTAGTGAGTGACAAAATTAAGAATATTTGACTAGTTATAATTCTTAAACTACTGGTTCAAATGGAATGAAATTTGAAATATACCGTGTTTATACAATGCCTGCTTGCTTACTGAAAATTCAAGCTTCTAGTTTTATCCACAACGAAGTTATAGGGGGTCGAAAATGTCCTGAACTGCTTCGAGAAAAGGATGGTACGGCTGTGCCGCTTTTTTGCTCGACTTGGCGGGGGCACTACCGTGCCCCCAGCTATTATTAATTCGAGTGAAGCTCAAATACTTTCCCTTGTGTAAGCGTAAGATACACTCAACTATGTTTGATTGTAAGGAAAATCTTAACCTGATCTGTAGGTATCATATAAGTTATCTAAAATGTCAGGAAGACTCAAGTCCATGCCCAAGATATTATGTTAAAACTTAAATCAATATGTCCAATGCTCAGTCATAAGAATAGGCACTCACTCGTAATAATCAATTCGTATTCTGTGTAACATTTTAACTATAATATACTCGATAAGAAATATGAATGAAGTGTCTGATAAACGGACACAATAATATTACACTAATCTAGTAAGTTTAAGCAATCATTTTGTGCACACTCAATAAAACTCTGTAATCACGTACTCTGCAGACGAAATAACGTATTTCTTTAAAAAGTATTTATAAACAATACTATGATCACAATTACATGAAAGGAAGGGTCACATTGAACTAGTAACCAATTTAATATGTAATGTAATGGAAGGAGTACGTATTACATCGGCACTATATTTCATTCCAGCAAACAGAAATCTTACGAGCCACAAGTTTGACTTCACGGGTTAGATTGCTAGTTAGGCCGCAGCACTCAATTCATCCTCTTTGTCTCCTTCTTCACTTCCTTCTCCTGCGCTACTTATATTTGATTACTTTAAGCAAAAAACTGCTCATGTCTTTGACTAGCAGTATCTCTCTAATTTGCTTAATTTACTGTTCTTGCGAAGAGGCGTTATATCTCTTTGCATTTTTCATAGCATATACCACAAGCAAGGCTCCTAAGATATGATGCACTGATCAGATTAATTCTAGACACTGTATCACGTTATCACACGTTTAACAATACCAATTATACTGTCTAAATGAATGTATCCGAGAAAATTGTCTTCATTATTAGATTACTTAATGGAATCTGCTATCACCAGTGGTGTTTATACCGGTATTATTTTACCGGTTAAACTTACCTTAGATAGGAATACAACAGCGATTCCTCTGGTGTTGCTAATGATTATTAACGATGGCGATCACTTATCATCAGGTGTGCCGCATGCACATTTGCACCATGGGGTTGGCACTAAACAAAACAAGGCTTCTTCCAAACAGCTCTCATATTTTTTACTGAAATACATTATACGATAATCTTCTTGCTTTATTTTACTACTTTCTTTTCGTTACTTTCTTTCACTTTCTTTTATTTTACTTATTTAGCTTTAACATTTTACGCGTCCGTATACATTAGTTTCCAGAAAATATTACAATAACAAACATGACTTTTCTACAGATTTCTTTATAAAGATAAAGATGTAGAAAAAAGAACTACAAGAAGAAATAGTAACCATGTATTAGCGGTGTAAGAATATCGACTACCCCCGTCCCGTGTGCGTCGTAAGAGACGACAGAGGGGAACAAACTAGCAGATGGGCAGCAGCGAGTTCCTAATAACAATTTAAAAAATGCTGTTAGCAAACCGCCTGCCAAGCGTGGCAATGAGGGCATCCACGACTTTTTCTGCCACAAGGGCGGCGCCACTTTACAGTGAGGTAAAATATTTGACAGATTTCATAGCGGGTACGATAATTACTTAGGAAAATGTAATCTTTAAGGTTTCTTTCCGCATTATTAGTTATATTTTATATTAATTACATTAGAAATGAATAAACCAAACTATAAATATAACTAAAAGCCGATTAAAAAAAAGGGAGATATAAAATGCAAAAAATTAAAAATCAAACCACTGACGCATTGTGTTGTTTATTAATAAAATATTCTAGATAATGATAAACTATTATTTAAAACTAATTTCTCAAATTAGTCTAATTAGTATCTAAATTATAATATATAAATTAAAAATAGTATATAAATTAGTAGTAGACACTGTGTAACAAAAAAACTTTACTTCAGTCGCAACTAACGACATCTGGTGAGTGGAAGATTATTAGCCCTCATTATAGTAAATCCTTATTATGTTATGGTCAATCCAAATAAGGTAATTGATGGAGGAGATCGACGTTCAGCTGTGAACTTTTCATAATCTGGAGTAGTAAAAAATATTTGTCTACGTTACTTCACTAACCTTATTTCATAATAATTTTAGGTGCCGTATAGGGGCGGCGTAAATGAGTCCATTACGTTCCGCGGTTGTATCATGTAATAGGCGATCATGATAGTCCAAGATCACACCGTGTGATTACTTCGCCCATCTGTTTTAATGGAAATACAATCTACATGAACAATAAGTGTTGATATGAACAAAAATGTTTCATAATAAGAACGTATTAAGCGTTTATGTTGTTACAGTTTCAACAATTTGTAAAACGAATATTCTAAATTCTTAATATATTGTTTGTTTTTACAGGGGCGCTGGTGGCGGTGGCATGTTTGGAGACGTCAATATATCGGCCATTTTGGACTCATTTAGTATAAGTTACGACAAAAGAGTAAGACCTAATTATGGAGGTTAGTAGTTAAATTATAACAGAAATAAAATTTCAAAGGTACCGCGTATTTATGACGAAGTCTGATTGATGGAACATTTTAAATCCAGTTGAATGAAGCAAACAAAAAAAAAGGGTAATATCTTAAATAGTGAATAAGAGATTTTCGTCAGCAATTCATTAAATATATCATATAATACATAAATTATTTTCAACCTTTAAACTAATGTAGTCGTATGTAGGCCTTTGGTATGACTTTACCACAGTTGCCACGCTTGGTAGGTGGGTTGGCAACTGTAGAATTATATAATTTGAAGTTGTTATAATGAAGATGCTGCTGCCCATCTCCTGTTTCAGTTGTGCTTCTTACGACGCCCACGAGACGTCATGGGGTAGTGGATATTCATACATCGCCACTACACGTTATGTGTCTGTCATTTATGTCTAACTGATCTAAATGTTTGGAATAAGTTATTATTTTAAATAAATGTAAATTGTGTGTTAGTGAAATTTCTGATTTGAAACTGAATATCAACTGTTTGTATATTTTGTCTATGCTAAACTGAACCGAGTATTATACAGACACGGTAAAATACTTAATGCAATGTAGAATTGGTGTTCCGAATATTCCAAATAAAACTTTTCACTTCGAGATTAGAGATCTAAAGTATTCTGATCCCTTGCTAATGAATTTCTTTTCATTTTAATTTCCGGATGATGGAGATTGACCACTGTGCGATTTAGAAGAAGTTTTCTTCTTCGCACAACTTCCCCGTGGAATCTATTACCACCCGCGATTTTTCGGGACTGATACGACTTAAGCACCTTCAAGAAAAGAACCTATTCCTTTTTAAAAAGTTCGCAATGCATCTGCATTTCCCCTGGTGTTGTGGTTGTTCATGGACGGTGGTAGTCACTTAACATCAGGTGAGCCACAAGCTCGTTTGCCCCCTCTCCTATAAAAATAATAATTCAAAGATATGTTGTATATTGATACATGAGGCAATTAAGTAATTGGAAATACACAGTTTTTCAAATAAATATTAGTAATAGTGTAATCTTAGCTATATATTCAAACAACGTACCAGTTTGTACCGGTGATAGGAAGTGTAGAGCTATCTATCCCCTACTTCTTGGACGACCTGATATTACGGCGCAGGAAGTCGATGGATACTAGTGAATCGAGACCAAGCTTTGTGGTATCCCTTGTTCTACCCAAAGGATGCTATAAAGCATGGTATTACTTCAGTAGTGGACTTGTGAAGGACTGAGACTGTGAGAGAATCATTCTATACGCCTACCCATCCTTCATAACAACCTACTCGCTCTTACCCGTACCGAAAAATAGCATTTACCATGTTTTATGTTAAAATCATGAAATTCTCATTACTTAAAATTTCAAGAACGAAACCCTCGTATACACACAAGTCTATTATGCGCCATTTGATTCATACATAAATTCAAAAAGTCGTGCAGCTAAAAGGAGTTGGAGTACAAAAAGGAAGCATGAGTCAAAACGAAAAAGCCTTTTCATGTCTGTAAAATATTTGCTAAAATGTTGAATTTTTTTCTTATCGGTTATTTTTGTAATAGCAAAAGTATTTTTTAATAATCATGTTACCACTAGTATTAAAAAAATACTCGCGGTTACTCGTGGTATTTTTCATGCTCGTGGTTTATGTAGTGAATTATTTCATTTTGGCACGTCTAAAAAAGATAAAATATGTTTTCAATATGGTTTCAAATATGCCCCAATTGAAATGCATTAATTAAAATATTTTCTTTTTTTTTAAATATATTTTATAACCTCAGAATTGACACTGACTGAAACTGACTGACATAGACTGAAACACTGATCCGCATCACCGGTCTATTTTTTTCGGTCGGATTTAGGTTCAGATTTCACTAGCCTCGTTCGTTGTTTGTTGCTCGTAAGATTAATATTGCTATTATTACGACCGTTGTATGTTATTTAACCGGCTTCAAAACAGGAGGAGGTTCTATATTCGAAGGGTATGTTTTTAACGAAGATTCACCGATTTATCAGAAACGGCTGTACTGATTGAAATAATGCCCTATTAAATTTGAGGACATTCTAGTTATTATACTATCAATCAGTTATTGCCTTGAACTTGATAGTGCTTATTCCACTAAAAAGACTAATTTTTTTATATGTAAAATCTACATAAGTAAATATAATATAATTACACCCACATAAAGTCTGGGTTTCTTATTCTTAGATACACCAAGTATGACTTAAAAACGTTCCGCAGTTGAACCTATTATGTGGAAATTATTCAATTTTTTTTTTAATTTTTATTAAAATAATTTTTTATTTAAAATAATTTTTAACTTTTATTAAATGTTTAAAGTTTTTTACATATCCTTTTGATTATAATAATCTGTGGAATATGACTTTAATAAATGTACTTATACTAAAACCATTAAAAACGGTGATACTTATAATATTATAGAAATATTCTAGTGTAAAACGCTTATTAACATTAACTTATTTGTGTTTAGAAAGTAACGTGTTAAAAACAATCTTTAAAAAAAAATTTCGTATAAGGCATTTAATTAATAACAACAAATATAAATAAGACATTGTCTTAACAAATAGCATATTACGTGGAGTATACTCGTGTAGTGGCGGCTGATAACAGCAAATTACAATAAAAAAACTGCAGTTGCCAACTCGCTCGCCAAGCGTGACAACTATGGCAATATGGCACAAATAAACGACCCCCGCCCCTGGCGGCATCGCTAGTTCTGGCTACGGTGGCCACCATGGCGGGGCAAGGTGTGCTTAGCATCTCCGGAAGAGGTTCGGTTGCCACCTAAGACGATTCAACCTGGCAACATATAACGCACGCACCCTGAGACGACGACGAGACGAGACTGACGAGAAGATCCTAGAGCTGGAAGAAGAGATAGACCAGTTGCTCTGGGACATTATAGGATTATCTGTGGTCCGAAGGGAGAGGAAGGACACGGTAATCCGCGAATCCGGCAACTTGTTCTATCACCGGGAGGGCGACCATCTGTCCCAAGGAAGTGTCAAATTTATCGTCCACAAGTCTCTCATTAACAACGTTGTTAAGAAGTGTGTCGAAGACTACGACTTATATTCAGAGCCACCAAATGATTTTCTCTGAAAGCCATACAGGTTTACGCACCAACCTCGACACATCTCGATGAGGAGGCGGAGGAAATGTATGAGAATATCTCTAGAGCCATGCATTCCTCCAAAACCCACTATACGGTGTTAATGGGAGAGCTCAACGCAAAACTAGTCACAGGAGAGAACGGTGAGCTGAAAGTAGGAAAATTCAGAATATGGCAACAGCAGCTGGAGAAAGAGAGACTCTTCATAATAAACTTTTTCTTCCAAAAGCGGCCCCACAGAAAGTTTACCTGGTCGAGCCCCGACGGTTCGACAAGAATTGAGATTGACTTCATTAGAATAACCAAAAGACAATTGTTAAGTGATGTCTCAGTGATCGTGAGGGTGAAAAATAGCAGCGATCATCGAATAGTGAGAAGCACACTAAACCTAAACGTTAAGTTGGAGAAGTCATGTCTATTGAAGTCAACCCTCCGTCCCACTCGTGCTTTATTCCAAAGTCGGGAAAACTTTCAGCTTGAGTTACAAACTTGTTTTCTGTGCATAGAAGCCTGCAATGAAGTGGAGAATATGAATGACAAGCTTGTGGTAAATGTCCATGCAGTCGGAGCTAAGTTTTGTAATACACGTCTGAGAAGAACACAAAACTCTCCGATCACACCTTAATCCCATGTAAGACAAGAGATGAAGCTGCAGTCTTCAGCAGATTTGACAGCATACAAGTAACTGAATAGACAGATCTCCATATGCATGCAGCGAGACTTACATAACTTTAATACTGCTCGTATTGAAGAAACGACCGAGTTTATCCAGGGCTTTAAGTCTTTGCCTAAAATTTGTCTGCCAAAAAGAGCCAAATGTAGAAGCTGAAGACCGAAGCAGCAGCATTGTTTCCGGGAAACTTTATATTTTGAGTGAGATTGAGTGCTACAGTCTCTTCAGAAGTGCCAAGTTGACTGTCGGTAAATTACGACACATCTTCTCATTAGGCATACCTCAAAACTTCAAAACTAGATTGTACAACCAGTGCGTTTTACCAGTGTTGAGCTATGGATCTGAAACGTAGTCCTTAACTGCTGGTCGTATGAGGAAGCTCACGATCGCTCAGTGAGCTATGGAGAGGGATATGCTCGGGGTTTCTCTGCGTGATGATAGACTTAAAAACGAGGATATCCGCAGTAGAACCAGAGTAACCGACATAGCCCAACGGATTAGTAAGCTGAAATGGCAATGGGATGGTACTTTGTGGCGTTCTTTGGGGAAGGCTTATGTTCAGCAATGGACTTGTGAAGGGCTGTAATGATGATTTAATGTTGATACTCGAATATCACAAGAAAAAAGCGAGAAAGTTAAAATATTTAACAAACAAGGGGTATTTGTTAATATACCTGGGTGACATAACTACATTAGTTTCGTATAAACATCAAGAGCAATCTCTCAACGGAGAACTGTATCTTCCACCATATATGTGTTTCAGGACCACCCGTGGAAGTGGGGGTTACCATGTACGTGCTCTCCATCAGCTCTCTGTCTGAAGTGAAAATGGTATCTTACTTTCAAAGCAATATCAAAGACACAGCGCATACATAGCAAAATTTTGTCCCTTAGTGCAATCACCAGCATTTTACCGTTCATTGTAGCACCCGTGTCCACGGTTCGATCGCAATTTTAGTTACTGGCTCGATATATTTGTAGTTTATGGGTGGTCATGTTGTTAATGATTTGCGTGGATGCGCGGGTGGTGCGTTACATGAATGCACTTGTCGCGCATTCCAACCGCCCAACCGTTCGCAACCTGCACGCACCCTGCGCCCCTCGTGCCCCCAATTGCTCTGTCCGTGGATGGGTAACGTCACCATCCTCTGGTTTGGTTTTCACGGCGCGAGGCGCGTGCGCGACTCACGATTGGGCTTGATTGCAGGTCCGCCAGTGGAGGTGGGCGTCACCATGTATGTGCTCTCTATCAGCTCCGTCTCCGAAGTGCTCATGGTACTCGCCACTGTCAGCTCACGCTTGTCTCGGTCGCTTCGGCCTCCGCCGCCGCGACCGAGCAGCCCCAGATACGAGGCTGCGAGCATGTCCGCGTTTGGTGGGGCAAAACGCCCTATTGTCCGCGCACTTGCTTTCTTACTATGTGTCTTTAATACCATTAACTGGTGAAGTAAAATAAACTTAGGATTTCATAATAAGAAAAGCAATACGTTATGACCGTTGTCAACTTGTGTGTTTAGCAGTACTCGTAACTCCAAAGAAGAATCCGCTAGTAATAGGTTTAAGGTGATACTTTCTGTTTAGTTATCTTAACATTTAAATTACAATTTGTATTAAATTACCTTATACCCTACTTCAAATAGTAAACAGATAGTCATCACTACTTCTAAAATTGGTTAGAATTAAAAAATAATTTCTGTTTAATTAAATACTATTTATAAAAAAGTCTAATAGTTTGTGACATAAAAAAATACCGTGAAAATAAAGTATTCCAAGTTCTATGGATTTGCGATGACTGTACTGTTTTAATCGTGAATTATTTCGTAGTTTGTTGTGTTTGTACGTATTTTGTGTACTTAAAATATTGCCAATATTCTTAAATTTGCGCTCTCCAATAACTTGGAACACCGGCTTAAATAATTATTATATAATACAATTCAATAACCAAAACCAATCGTATATTTATTTCCTAAGAATGTGTAGCTGTAACTTAAAAGTTCCCTTGCGTTTTAACCTACCTTTAAAATCCGGTCTTCCAAAGTATGTTCTGTATGAGCAGCTAGACGTTTGGGTGAAGGACCCTGCTGTGGAAACCAAATCAAGGTTGGGAAGGTCACAGTGAGACGTGACCCATAACCCATGAGGTATTTGCAAATTTCGCAAGTCATCAAATTGCGATCGGGACGCAATCATTAATATATAATGTTTTTTTCCACAAACCTAATCCAAACTTACTCGTGGCAACTTGTATAAGTATCGGCTTGTTAGCTTGATTTAAGAAAAGTCTGCCTTTATCGAGCCGTGGGTGCCCGCCTGCGCCGCAATCCTCTTACATTGCCCTATCCCATCACCAAAGCACATTTCCTGTTCATTCTTAGAATCCACCTATATAAGTAGTATTTACGCCATGTTCACACACTGCACATTTTTCTTTAAGTAAACATTTCACGCTTACAGTTCAATTTGTCTATTAAATGTAGTACTGACTTTATATAATATTAAATCAGTTTAAGATAGAATAAGCCTTTGATACTTTACTTATTAAATTTTAAACGAAATAAAAACTCTTCACATTGATAACTGACATATAGGCTCTAAGTATTTGGCTACAATTAGCCATTATCAGTCCGAGCATGCTTATATTAGATGTAAATGCCTTAGTGTTAAATGTATACGTCAGGTATTTTTATTATTATTAATTTTATTAATTTAATCGCAATTTAAAACATAGGTCCTACTGTTGTCAAGACGAAAAGCAAGTGCAAAACAAAATAGTTTAATAGGACCTCTGTTACATTTGTTTAAAAATTCGAAAGAAGCGAAATTCCTTTTTTAATTATAAAGATAAAGACCAATTAGCACAATAAGAAATTTCTTTCTCTTCAGGACTTCACGTTGGATTTTTACTTCAGACAGTTCTGGACAGATCCACGATTGGCTTATAAGAAAAGGCCCGGTGTAGAAACTTTATCAGTTGGTTCTGAATTCATTAAAAATATCTGGGTACCTGATACATTCTTTGTTAATGAAAAGCAATCTTATTTTCACATAGCAACGACCAGCAATGAATTTATTCGAATACACCATTCTGGTTCCATAACACGAAGTATAAGGTATATGACCTTAAAGTCAAATTCAATAAAATTTTCGTAAAAAACTCTATCTATTTCTTAAACATTTTTATGATGATTACAGATTAACAATCACAGCTTCATGTCCAATGAATCTTCAATATTTTCCAATGGACAGACAATTGTGTCACATAGAGATCGAGAGTTGTAAGTATCTTCCTATAGGTTTAATTTAAATAATTAAAACTAAGTGGCTGTATGAAAATCACTCAGTTTGTAAATTAATATGAATGTGAATACTCACAAAAACATATATACATATATATGTTTAATCATAATGGTAATTATATTTATAATATTTACATTTTATACATGTTACAATAAAAACTCAGGAAATTTAACAAAGGCACGCTTTATATTATATACATATATGCCAATATATTATATATCGTGCAAACCTTGTTTATCAATTATATAAATAATGCCTATTAAATTTATAATATTTTATGCGAGGCAAATTTGTTATTTTTTTATGATGATAGAAAAATAATTAATGGTTTTTAATGTGTGCTCACTCAACGCAACTGTTGACGCAATCTAACCACTATGCAATTTATCACTAGGCTTACCAATATTGTGTTGTGATCACTTTCTTGTATCACAGATGCTACTCAGGGATATCCTGTGAGCACATGCGTACAATGTAATGGTCGACACGTGCTGTGATTTCCCTCGTGTTCTCATAAGTTGGAACGTCTCCTTCTCGCATACAGCACCCGCAGAAGGCAGACACGTAATAGTAAGCCTTTTTCCTCACAAGCATTAAGCGTTAAAATGATTATGCGACATCGATGCTGTGATAGCTGAGCGGGCCGGAGGAGGCGGGGTTTGGAGGCACCCGCGGGGTCTGCACATTCATGGATGGCCGTGCCGCTGACGGAGTGCACTGCACGCGGCCGACACACACCCTTACACCCTGCATAATCACTGTTGCTTAGCTCCTCACTGCATACTAACTAATTACACTTGCATGTATACTAAATTGCTTTAATGTATGACTTAGTATTATGATTTAGTTTATCCCGGTAAATATTACAACTGTAATCTAGAAATTAAGTAACACAATTTTATTTTGCCATTTGTTTCTCTAAAGTAGGTAGAACATGTAGATTTATATTTTTCTATCATCCACTTTGAGCTGATCAGAGATAAACGACCTAAATTTGGTCGTTTCTCAATTCCGCTCGTTTGTCTCGCCCGCGACTCCCATCACCGCCGCAGCTGCGCGAGCGAGGGATGCGCGGTGCTTCTCAGCGTAAGTGATAGCGTTTTGTGTGTTTGGCATGTCTCCGGAGTCGGGTACACAATGAGAGATATTCGATACCATTGGAAAGACGGACTATCGAGCGTCGGCATGAGTAATGAAGTGCAACTGCCACAGTTCAGAGTCCTCGGCCATCGTCAACGTGCTACAGTTGTAACACTTACGACAGGTAATGATTAGCAATGCCCGCTATCCTAGCACAATCCATTTATTACTCCGCCACCGACCCCGTCTCCCTCAGCCCGTGTGCAGATGATAGATACCGCGACACTAGCACACACGCTAAAACATAACACAAAAATCGCACGATAAAGCCGCGCGACAACCGAACTCGCGATATCCTGCTCTCACCCTGACCGAATGAAGACACGAGTCACAAAACCCATTGCGATGGGCCTGGGGTAATTTCATTTATGTATCCGCTGCGCACAGTCGGCTACACCATGCGGGACATCCGATACAAATGGAACGAGGGGCCCAACTCAGTGGGTGTATCAAACGAAGTATCGCTACCACAGTTCAAGGTGCTTGGCCATCGACAACGAGACATGGAGATCTCCCTCACAACAGGTACTTAAAATAGGGGGATTTAAATTATTGGGTAAATATTCAATAAGTTTTGCTAATACGTGAAACACTGGATTAAATCAGTCACGATTCTTTTCACATCCTGCTTTTGTACTTATGCACAAAACACTGAGTGGTGTGTAAAAATGATTTCAGTAAGTTGTATAATTTAGGTTTATATATCCATTCATAATTTTGAAATAAGTAAGAAATTAGAAGTAAACTTAGTTAACTGTTATTGTTTTAATAAATATTAGCAACATTACCTATTATATATATATATATTAACAATCTTTCCAGGAAATTATTCAAGATTAGCGTGTGAGATACAATTTGTTCGTTCAATGGGATATTATCTTATCCAAATTTATATTCCATCTGGCTTAATCGTTATTATATCATGGGTATCGTTTTGGTTAAATCGCAATGCTACTCCAGCTAGAGTTGCCCTAGGTGTGACAACTGTATTGACTATGACCACACTCATGTCATCAACTAATGCGGCCCTACCTAAAATATCGTATGTCAAGTCCATAGACGTGTACTTGGGAACCTGTTTCGTCATGGTCTTCGCAAGTTTATTAGGTAAATCACTCTTGTTTTTTTTTTTCAATTAAGTGTTGCACTGCGATGTTCTTTTGAAAAATGCGAATGCGAACGTTTTTTATTTTTTATAAACTGTAAAGTGTGGAAACACGGTTAGCTAAGTTTATGCGTTGCGAATTTTTTGCGTTTTTATATATTTGAAATAGTTAAATACTTTATTATAAATTATTTGACTTTTAATACAAAATATCAAAATAGGTTTAAATACAGGTGATATTTACTTTATTTATAGAATATGCTACCGTGGGATACATGGCGAAAAGAATACAAATGAGGAAACAAAGATTTGTAGCTATACAAAAAATAGCTTCTGAGAAAAAAATTCCTGTGGATTGCCCACCTGTTGGAGACCCTCACACGCTTTCTAAAATGGGTACTATGGGTAGATGCCCTCCAGGGCGACCATCGGTAAGGCCTAAATAAAATATTTCAAAGTACTGTTTGTTGATTTTATTACTATACCTGTGGACGACATTTTTCAGGAGGTTCGATTTAAAGTCCATGACCCTAAAGCGCACTCTAAAGGCGGGACTCTAGAAAATACGATTAATGGTGGCAGAGCAGCTGAAGAAGAAAATCCGGGTCCACCTCCTCATATTCTTCATCCTGGAAAGGTAAATTTTCTTAAACCTGATATTGCTGTGCTTGTTATATAAAACTAATGCCAACGTTGCGTAATCGTAGCTAAGCGAAACAATTGTGAATGTAAAATATGTGTGTTAAATTCTGCATAATATCTATACTTTTAACAAACGTTGAAAGTTGCTGTAGCGAAAGAATTAATTTATAGGTTTCTTTAAGCCGCATTGGTTTATTGTCTTGAACACAAAAAAAATAAAATACTTAAAATGAATGTGGCCTTGTGGTGATATCGATTTTCGATGTATTAATTTTATCAGTATTCTTATTTTGTTTCAGGATATAAGCAAACTCCTGGGTATGACCCCGTCAGACATCGACAAATACTCACGCATCGTGTTTCCAGTTTGCTTCGTCTGCTTTAATCTAATGTATTGGATAATTTATCTTCACGTATCAGACGTCGTGGCTGACGATTTGGTTCTACTGGAAGAGGATAAATAGAGGGAGCGTTTTATAATCCACTTATTTTTTCACTTTTGCTAGTTGAATAATAATTTGAAACAAGTTTTTCGATATTATCAGTTTCCAGTAACTGATAATTAATTAAACGTGGAAAAACACCTACACTAATCATTAGTATTACCGATATCTATCATTCGAGCATGAATTTATAGACATATAGCTTAATATTAGATTTTAAATTTAAAATATCGCGTAAAAGTAACTAACGTAAAAGACTTAAACAACACGAGTAATCAAAGATATTTTGAAATCCGTAAACTAGTATATTAAACGGAAATTGCGACTAGGCAAAATTTAATTTACAAAGTGGAAAACCAGGTATTTGTTTACTGATTTCCGAGAGAAAAGAATTTGAATGTCAAGTGAAATTAAATGTATGAATTTTGATGTACATATAAATATAATTTATGTATAGTAATAAAGAAAAAGATAATTATATAATATGAGCCTAGTTCTCTTTTGAACTTTTTAAAGTAACATCTAGTAGAAAGCTGTAGTAAAATTCAAAATGTTGCCGTTTCAAATTGTTATTTTTCATGTGGCAAAATGAGTGGAGGTGACACCAAAAATATGTTGTAATATAAATCTGATGCTCAACTAATACTGCTTGAATTTTTAGAATTAATAGAATTTCTACCGATATGTTAATTAAGTTAGGCGTTTGTTTATTGTTTGCCATATTTTAAATTGTTGTGTTATAAATAGAAATTTATTTTATCGTAGTTGCAGACAAGTATAATAATGTTAACAATTTAATTTTAAGCTTCATGTTGTGATTTCATAATTTAACTATTACTTCTTATATAAGCCAGTAATCTTGCTTTGCATCGATGAATGCATGTGGGTTGACGTTATTTTTGTGATTTTCTTATTTTACCATAAACTAATTACGATTATTTAAAACAACCAACAATAAGTGCTAGCCCATTACCAGTACCAGACAGTTAACGTCGTAATATAATAACTTTTCATTTTATCATACCACTACATTCTTTATGTCATTGCATGCAAATTTCATTCTTAGGTCTGTATTTTTTTTAAATCGAGCATGATGTTCTCCCTTGTTCAATGCTGTCTTTATAGACAAAAGTTTTATTTACTTTACATTCTTTAAAAAGTTTATCAACCTTTGTATATAAGTCTAAAATTATTCTAATATATATACATATATACATATATATATATATAGATATATATATATATATATATATATATATATATATATATATTTATAACTAAGCAAAGTGATCTTGTAGCGTCTCATTTTAAATTCTCCAAAACCAAATGCTGCGTGTTTAGTATTAATTTTACCTTAAAATACTATCATTAGAATATTCAATGCCAATACATCTTATTTTATTGTCTCGTCGCCAAGTTTTAAAAAAATTGCTCGTGATTATATTACAAAACAAGCTGAACTTTCTCATATGATATCATGTAGCTCATTCTCAATTATCTGTCTATAAAAATATGAAAGCAAAAAATGATATAAATGAAAGCAGCAATGAAAAATTCGATAATATTGCTTACAGGAACTTTAAGTTATTATATTTTTTGTGCAATATCATCTGACTGAGGGATTTGTAAATATAACCAAATACCTAGTTAATAGTAAATTAAGAAATGTCGAATAAAAAACAGCATAAAGAGGGATTAGAATAAACAGTTGATCTTTACGAGCATTATTGATAATGTATTTATTACCCATTTAAAACTGCCTGCTCAAATAATTTCCTTTTTTCTTTCAAAATTGCTGTTTTTTTATATTATACTAGACCATCACAGTAGAAATGCAATGCTTTTCTAACTTATTTAAAATTAGATGAATTAGCTTTATTTGCTCGCTAGTAAATTCGACAAAGCTCCTGTAGAAACGCAATACTTTGAGCATTGGAACTTTATTATTTCTGTTAACTTGGGAAGTGCATTCAAAGATCATCTTGTATTAAAAGGAGATGACTTCTATAATACAAGAAGAATGAATGGACGTTCCCACTCTAACAGTTCTAACCCTCATTATCTGAGGCGCAGGGCTCCTGTCATCAGCTACGATATCATTATTGAAATATTTTGAACACTGTTACTTTATTATGGGTTCCATGGGCTTATATAGTTTAGATATTTATGTCATATATTCCTTAGTTTTTCGAGACAATATTAATTAGTAAATAATACACTGCCATCTCAGTGAACACCAAAATATAGAATGTTAAATAATGTATTAAAACAATTTACATTTGTAAATATTATATTACTTATAATATGAAAAGAATCTGAAAGAAGCTTCGGTGACCATAAATGGAACCCATTAATTCTACATTTAAAAAAATGCAATCATGCTAATTTCTAGTTTGACAAATAAGGTTTCACAAATTTACAAGAAACACTGTAACCATAAAATTAATTTCATTTTAATTGATTCATTAAATTGATATATTTATAACGGTATATTTTAGTGAAAATAGCGTACATAAAATATTTATAATTGTGAAAATGTTATCCTTGCATAGTTTATATTGAGAGCATAAGAATTAGTCAGAAATGTAAATTTTAGCATATTTATATTTTAGAATAAATAAATTATATTATATACACTTTAGATCATGTTTAAAATAGAATGATTATAATAACTACACTCATGTATAACTGCACTGTAATCTGTGTATTCACATTTAATTTTAAATGCAATTAACTACATATTATATTCTAAATTATATATAGATAAATGATATGTCATTATTGAGTAAGATTCGCCGTTAGTATTTTGACCTAGGTACTACGACGCAGCCTCAGCTTGGTGACGAAACGAAATTCTAAAATAATTGTTTAGTGATTAGTAACTAAGTGCGAAACAAATAGTTTTAAGATATTCGTTTAGATATTTATTAAATAATATTTAAATAACAGAGCACACTCAATGAAGTCACATATACTATTTTAAATTAGGTAGCTTATATAGTCGGTACATTATTTCGTCTTGTATAATTACATAAGTTTGTGTGTAATAGCTAAAATAAAATTATGTAAATAGTAATTTACATAATTTTATTAGAGTAAATCTTCCAAAATTAAATTTTTTATTTTAATACCTTATAAACTTAGGATAATATCGCCAATTTAATTTAACACCTAAGACACTAGTACACCAACTTAACAAAAGCAATAAGTTATGAATATATTTTTAATAACCATTATGAAGTTGATTTGAAAAAAATCTATAAAGTTAATAGTTTTTAACATGAAAGCATTAAAAGTTGCCTTAACTCTACCTAACGCTCATCATAATCTTATTTCATAAATAGATAAATAGATAAAATAATTTTTTTAGTAGGTTCCATTTATAGAACTTGTTCAACTAACTGAGGAGTGTTCTCAGAATATGATACTATTAGCAATCTAATGTTTTGGTTTTAAATATAGTTGTGTGTTTTATTAAATTTTATAACGTATAACTACTTTATTATTTGAAGAGACGCTAGATTAAAACTATTAAACGTAGTAAAATTGCATGATATTTGTAAGATAAGATAGCACTAATCAGAAAAGGAAAATCTTTATTACCTCGGTCATAATGAGAAATATTTGCTAGATGTAAGTATTACAAAACAAAAAAAGATATTTAAAAGTTGCGTATGGCAGAGTTCAATCACTTTGCTTTTTATAATTATGTTACAGTTTTTATTGTACATATATTACACATTTAAAACGCATTATTTTTTAAGTAATTTCTATAAGTTTATAAGTAATTTCTATAAGTTTACCCAAAAACTGTATTTATATTGATTAAAATTTAATTTTATTTTATCAAAACAATGAAAATTAATATTTGTCATTGTTTTGATGAAAAAAAAATGAAATTAGGAGGTTATTTATGATTTTTGCTTTAGGAGATATTTGAGATTAATCGTGAGTTTCGTGCTTCATAAAAATAATTAATGTCGTAATGAGCAATAGGTAATAATTTATGAAAACAGAAACACCAATTTATGTTTTAAAAAGTTAATTTATTTCAAAACAAAATATGAAAATAGACTTAAAAATCAAATAGATATAGAAAAATGTAATAATTCTCATACCATTTTTTTAATAGAATGCTCAAATCAAAATTTATAATTAAGGAACTATTTCGACACTTCTAAACATGATTAAAACACTTTACTTGTGAATTTTCATAACAACATTAACAAACTGTAACATATATGATATTTATACTACACAATAATCTAGTAAAAAATTTAATGATCGACCAGAGACAGTAATAACTTTGAAGCCCACACAATGGTTCTTAGCTATTAGCCACTGAGCAAGTTCTAATTCCGAGTCACAAAGCGAGCTATGGAGAAGTCGATCGCCTACATTGATCCAAGATTGAATATTTTAATTTGGCGTAAAGTCTTTTACTATCATATGCTTGGAATAAAGAAATTCCTGGGTTCCACAATATATTACTTTCCATTTAATCATCATGTCTTTCTTACTTCAACACTATAAGGTACAAAGTCTATTCTAAAATAAATGGCTCAATTATATATAGTAACTTGAAATGTATTGTTACAAATGTAGAGAAGGTTTAGATCTCTAGATATCATGCTGAACTAGAGTACAAAATAACCAAAAATTGTATCGGCAACATTAAATCATAGTTTAGGCATATTTTTTACGATTTCATGTTGTATGTCGCTATTTCCCAAATTTCTGTGACTTTAAATAACAGATTAAGATTATTTATTAGTTTTGTAACATTTTAAAACTAGTGCAGTGCAAACAAACACGACTGACAAACTGTCATTTTGTTCAAATATTATAAACTGTCGAGACTAATTCTCTTAGACTATTAACATGTTTTCAATAAAATCTTGCTATTATCCCTAAAATAGTCTTGGGAATAATTTAGTATTCTATATATTTGTTTCTGTTTCTTATAATTATGGTATGGTAATGTATTTAACATTAGTTTTTGTCATCTAAATCAATTTGTTACCTCATAATATAATTTTAATAAATAGCACCTCCAGATTAAACCCGTTAATAGAATAACGTAGTAAAATAGGCATAACCTTATACATTAAGAAATGAAACAAAGTGAAGCATTAGTATGAAGTAGGTGAATAGTAATTATTACAATGACGTTGTGGAATGAGTAAATAAATATTACAACAGAAAGAAATCTCAGGAATAATGTGATGTTTTTTTTTTATTTTTCGACTTATTATGCCAAATAATTGCAGAAAGGTTATAAATTTTTAATTTAAATAGAATTCTTTTATAGCCCAATTACGTAAACTTTTATGAAATCACATGAAACACGCTAATCATGAAAATGAATTTATACACGCTTGATTTTAAAGTATTTACTACTAAAGAAATACTTGCAGAATATGCAAGATTTAAAATTGTCGCTTTACTTTTTTAATTATGATAATTTAACAATAAATTTTCTTGCATTGTTGTTAAGATCTCAATTTTACTATAAATGTGGCTAATTTTTATATTTTATTACTGTTAGATACACTGTAGTTGTCTGTGAACTTATGAATGATTATTAATATACGATACTAAAGGAAAAATAAATCCATTTTTAAAATATACCTTTTTTTCTTTACTTACAATATTTGGTAATTAATTCCCTTATTATTTCTTAACACGCACAAGAACGATGGTAATTATTGATATAAATATAACACCAAACAATTAATGTCAAGAGACAAATATCTAATTTACTTTACATTCAAATAATTTATGATTTATATTAAATAAAATACATACAGCAAATTACACAAGTATATTATTTAATGGACGCTTATGGACGGAGCTACACTAAATTGGCCATTTTTATTCAAACTCATAGCAACCCTGTTAATATCTGCAAGAAAACAAAATAATTTAATAAACATGGAAGAATAACTTAAAAAGTAACGTTTACTTTTATTAATATAAATTTGGAAGTATTTAAAAAAATTGTTTGAATGTGTTACAATGTTTATTTGGGAAAAGAACATTTTGGCTACCAATATAAGTCATTTATCCAAAGATCCAAAGAAGAAGATAGATGTTAAACTTATTCTCGTTTTCATATAAGAGATGTAAATGCCTATGAAATAAAGTAAATGAAAGATCGAAAAGTAGTAGCCTGCTGACACTGGCCTCTACTTTCCGGGATGTATTTTCATAGTACACGGATCACCTCCTGTTGCTAGGAGTTATGATTTCATCGAACCCATAACTTTGGCGGTCCATTAAGACTTACATCTAAGTCATTAAGATAACGAGGTGTACTTGTCCTTGTAGTTCACGCTGAAACTGTTCTTATTCTAGATACAGCGAAAGTCTGTTCATATATGGAATACTGCTTACATTTGGGCTAGTGATTCAAAATACTACGTAGCGGAATTATAATATAAATATATTATATAATATAAAAAGGCTTAATGATTTAATTTTTCCTTCCCCTTTCCACCATTAAGCAACTAGAAGGATGGTGGTTCTCCACCCCTTTATTGTCGATATTTCACGCATACTACTTTCAAAGGTTCGCTTTGTATTTGGTAATGTACCGACGGTGTGTATTGTAGTGTTTTTTTTTTAAAGGATAAGGGTGACAAACGAGCACACAGTCCACCTGATGGTAAGTGGTTGCTGCGGCCCATAGACATCTACATCTATCCTCTG